ATATTACAGTTATATCACGCATTGTACCCATGTGGCGAACCCGGATTTTCGGCGCATGCTTCAACCACTGGGCTAACCCACCGCCCCTAAAGCTAATGTTCCGGATATTACTCATCCACGTTTGACCCGAGAAGATCCGGGTGAGAATATGTCTTCAGCAACGCGACTAACGGGATCGGGCGGTCAGGCTCGCTGACTTGGTTGATGCATGTCATCGTATCCCAATTGCGTGGATCGATGCTCATGATGCCAATGACTGGATTTTCTGGTCCAGACCGCCGTCATATAGCTAGGAATACTGCATGCTGAGTACGGCGTTAAACAACAAACAAACAAACAAATTATCCACGATAACTTTCATGAACCTGGGTTGGATTCCACACGTTGCAACACTGTGTAAAGCCTCATGTTGGTATTGCTGGAATATTAACCACGCGAAACCTCACTCGCTCAAACGGGAATGAGTTTTTTTTGTCACCTTTTTGAATATTTTACACCACGGCCTCACTTTAACCCATTGTACTCGGAATCGAACCCGGGTGTTCGGGTTGACAAGAGCTTTAACCGCAGGGCCATCCTTCTGGTCCATCAGCGTGATATCTCATACACAGTACATAGTATGGTGATGGGAAAGAAACTATTTACGTCCTGGTCACGTGATGAGAGATACGCATGGATCATAACCATTGAAGTTATATATATATAGCAGCAGGATTTCCCAGCGGACGGAACTGAGATGCTATGCGGTACTATTGTCGTCCCCTGCACGAGATTCTGTTTCCTCCACCCACTATGTGACAACAAATCAGTGAGTGAGTGAGTATAGTTTTACGCCGCTTTTAGCAATATTCCAGCAATATCACGGCGGGGGACACCAGAAATGGACTTCACACATTGTACCCATGTCGGGAATCGAACCCGGGTCTTCGGTGGTACGAGCGACGGTTTAACCACTAGGCTACCCGACCGCCCCGACAACAAATCAACGAGAAAACAACAGTGTATATTAAAGGGACTCTTCGAGATTCACTTCAAGGCCAGACCCACACACAGTTGCCTTTCAGATTGCGATTCATGTTGTTTGTTTGTTTTTTGTTTAACGCCTCACTCAACAATATTCCAGCTATATGACGGCGGTCTGTAAATAATCGAGTCTTGACCAGACAATCCAGTGATTAATATCATGAGCATCGAATAACGCAATTGGCGTGCATCAACCAAGTCATCGAGCCTGACCACCCGATCCCATTAGTCGCCTCTTGCGACAAGCATGGTTGATGAGGACCTATTCTATCCCGGATCTTCACGGGTCACGATCAATATATACATTGTGCCAGGGTTGTAGTTTTGTAGGAGAAATCCACAAGATCTTAAGTAATGAAAAAAAAAACGTTATCCCTTTTCGAATGATTTGTCAGGTATATATTTACGATCTCCCCGTGAAGATTCGGGTTGAGAATAGGTCTTCAGCTTGTCGTTAGAGGTGATTAACGGGATCGGGTGGCTAGGCTTGCTAACTTGGCTGATGCATGTCATCGTATCCCAATCGCTTAGAGACTGATGCTTATGATGTCAATCACTGGATTGTCTGGTCCAGACTCGATATTTACAGACCGCCGTCACATAGCTGGACTAATGAGTGCGGCGTTTAACAACAAACAATATATTTACGATCACCAAGCAGCGGCAATATCCACATAGGTGTTTCTTTTACGAGTGAACGCACAAACGATTGCGGGATACATATTTAACTTTTTCAGTGAATTCATATTAAATGCTTGTCGTAAGAGGTTTGTTTGTTGTTTAACGCCGCACTCAGCAAAGTTACAGCTATATGACGGCGATCTGTAAATAATGGAGCTTGGACCAGACAATCCAGTGATTGTGACAATACATTGAGATGTTGGTTAGGCTCGGCAACTTTGTTGGTGTCATCGTATACCCGACGGCATGGCAAGATGTTCATAATATCAATCACCGCTTGTTTAATGCAGACATCGTATAGCTAGAATATTGGTGAACAAAACAAAACGGTAAAGAGAAGATTAAATAGAGGAAAAGATTTAAGGTTGAATCCTCATTAAAATGCCCCACAACTTGCAGTTAGCTGGTATGAAATAGTTTACTGTCCGACAGCACAGCTTTGACCACTGCAATGGGAATCACGGTTCTGTGTGCATGTGTCCCTTGGTCAGTGCCCATGCTATCAATCAGTGGTTTGGCAAATTAAGACGCGATTGTATGGCATTTTGAAGTGAAATAATTTGAAACTTGCTGAAAATATTCCCTCACTCACAATGTTTGACATTGTATCCAAATTTCGATCGATGCTCAGGATGTCAATCACTGGATTGTCTGGTCCAGACTCGATTATTTACAAACCGCCGTCATATAGCTTGAATATTGCTGAGTGCGGCGTTTAACAACAAACAAACACAATGATTGATCGGATATCATAACAAAACTGCATTGACGCATGAAGAGAAATAGAGTGAGTGAGTGAGTGAGTGAATTGGGTTTACCGCCGCTTTTAACAGTATTCCAGTTATATCACGACGCGTCAACGTATTGTGGGAGGAAAGCCCGAATGATGCAGGTCCCAGACGTTTACCACTTCGGTGAAACCCACGAGCAAGGTGATGGTGCTGGAACCATAAGCGGGGCGAACCGGGATTCGAACCCACGATCCTACGTTTCTGGCGTATCCAAGTGGCGCAACTCTGCGAAGTGCGGTGCCTAAGACGACTGGGTCTCCCGTACCCCCGAAGAGGAATAGAAGAGCATACAGTATACCAGGTATAAGTATTGAATGAAAAGGTAAATGTATAGGTAGTCTTATGACTCAATAAATCGCTCGTCACGTACAAGAACCAGGTTCGAATCCCCACATGGCTACAATTATTTGTGTCCCTCGTCGTGATATTGCAGCACGGGCAAGTCTTAAATACATACCCATTAACATAATAGTACTGCTACATTTACAATTTGTAGTTATTTTAATAATACACAGCATCCACGTACAACACACAATGTAACAAGGTCTGCATGAAGTACGACATTGGGAATTTATCTACCACGGACGTCCCACGTGCGACCAACTGCCTTACAATTGCAATGTACAGCATGCATAGCTGAAGCATGGTGTTGTTTCTCTGAACTGAGAATAGAAAAAAAATGATAGTCCTCTTTAACTCTTTAAGTTTACACGGTGAATTTATTCTCGTATTTCTTGGCATATCAGTAGACACTCCAACTGCAATTAAAATGGGGTTTAACGTCGCGTCCAAGATTATTGCACTTATATAGCGACGTGCATGCACGTGTGTGTGTGGCTGCTTGTACTTGTCCGGCCTGATTACGATTTATTGTGCCGCAGTTTTTCATGAATATACCCCACTCAGACAGCGTATACTGACTCCAAGCCGACCAGTCCTTGTGTTAGCCCCTTATTGCCGAGCACCAGACAGGGTAACAATATGTACCACCTTTTAACGTATTTTGATATGACGCGGCTCTAGACAGAGCGTGTCTAGATATTTTAAAATATAATTACATTATATAATACAGAAATGTATTGGGTAAATATTAATATACAGCTTCACGCCAGTGTTGCAAGTACATATTTTTTTACCGTTACGTGGAGGAATTTATAAATGAAAATGAAAATTTGTATTTGTTCATTCCATACACAACCGTAACTGGGTGAGTGAGTTAGATAAAATTTAACGTCGCATCTGCAATATTTCAGCCATGTAGCGACTAGTTGATTTGTTATATTTGAAAACCATTATCTGTTTCCATTTAAATAATTAATACATTATTCACAACAATAACACACATTTTGGTACCTCGTGGGTGACATTTTTAATATTCGTAACAAATATTTTATGACATTAATATACGAGTAGATGAACGTGGGAGAGTGAGTGAGTATGGTTTTACGCCGCTTAGAGCAATATTCCAGCAATATCACGGCGGGGGACACCAGAAATGGGCTTCACACATTGCACCCATGTCGGGAATCCAACCCGGGTCTTCGGCGTGACGAGCGAACGCTTTAACCACTAGGCTACCCGACCGCCCCGAACGTGGGAGACCTGTCACAGATTCGCCAATGCTGAATGTGATATAGGTGTAGATAAAAACGTCCGGTATGTTTTTCAAAAGTCAAATGAGTAATTATGGCTATATTAGGGGCTGGTAATATATTATAGAGGGTGTGGGGTGGGTTTGGTTTATGACCCCACCCCATAATAAATTACCAGTTCAAATTTTAAATATTTAAAAATATTGAATGTCATTTTTTCATTCCTCCATATTCCCCTTCTCACACCAACCCCTATGAAAATTACCAGTCAGAATTGAAACACCAATTTAATTGTATATATAGCATGTCGTATTGGTACGAAAAATTCGCATTTTCAAGCATGAACATAACTTTTAGGAGCGACGACAGACTGACATACCAGTATTTCCTGATTCAATGTCGCATATCTAAGCATGAGTCAAAAGGTGTGTCGTTTTACCTGCGAATTACCTATTAGTCAACATTGTCAAACCCATTTTCGCCTCGAACCGCGTGAGTGCTAATCAAGTTTTAAGGAACAGATAGTTTACAGCATGATTATTTGTGAACACGTGTCATTGGCGATTTGATAAAATCACTGATGTTTAGCTTGCAGTGAAAGCACGTGCAGAGCGAATAATTCGTGCGGTAGTAAACTGCTTCTTTGTTCCCGTGTCAGTTTGTTAGCATTCCATTCAGACACATCACCGCGTAGGAGGAACTTGCACTCATCAGTGAACTTTATTTACATTTGAGAATACGAGTTTAATCTTTATTGTAAGTATACTTGATGTGTTATTGTATTGTGCTGTGTTTTGATTAATATCAGTGTACCAATAAATTAATTATCGAATACAAAAGCGAACTTTATTTCGAATATGAAGGAACTACATGTTGTGGCGTAGGTTTTATGAATTCTGAACCACTGTATAGCAGGTGCCCCTGAACTGCGCATGCTCCTAGACACGACGCCATCTTGGAATTTGAATATATTGTGAAAGGGTCGGTAAAACATTGGCGAAGGCTTGACGAGAAGAGCGATATAAGGCTGTTTCGAGACGCTCAGTGGTCCATCTGGGCCCAAATTTCGGTAAGATACAACAGCGAATGCGTCTTGTATGTATTAAGAGCATCGTATTAGCTAATTTAAGGCCGTATGAGCGCTAAAATGCGTCAAAATAAACGATGCCCCGATCTCGTTCGTACTCGTTCGACCGAATCAACCGACTGTCTTACATACATGTAGCGCATGAATTAATTTGCTGTGCTCATGCTTGGTTTTGTTATGCAATACTGGTTGTGTATTGATCATGTAAGAAAAACACATCGTGTATTCGAACAGTTGTATGTGCATATTGCATTTCTGGGGTGGAATTCTGCAAAAAGATCGGGAAAGAAAGATGCAAAATGGCCGACATGACCCTGCCCGGCTCCCGGTTATGGCCGAGCTCAGAATCACTGCAGGAGTGGTCACCCTATTGTCACAAGTAAAATGCAGTTGTCTGAGCCCAGGAACGAACACACATACAAGGTTTTGTGTTGGTACTAAAACAATTCTCAACTCACTATATGTAAACAAGATTATTATCCTCAACAGGAAATGACACTGCCTGAGATCCCAAGAACTATTTTGATTATTCGTTTACACCATTGTTGAATTTAGGGCGAAAAGGCTACTTTTACAAGCTTTGTTAAGTTTGTTGTTGAGAAATCTGAGTTATCAACTTCACATTTGAAAGATGACTTAAGTAATCAAAATAAGATATATATAATCTACACTGTTTGTATTTCACATGAGGTAAATTAGTTTCTCGAAATATTTAGCCAAGATTTCGATAGCAACAAAGTGCTGTGTAACCAATTACTAATCTCCCCTCTTAATAAATAATCCTGGAAATTAGTCCAGTATTATTTGTCAATATTCTTTACTTGAAGTTTGCATTCATGACACATCCAATTACGCAATAATTGAGCAGTGATTATGTTGTTGACAACATTGGTATTTCCCTGATATTTAAACTTTTTGATATGACATTCTTCTAGATCTATATCATTCATATTGTAAAGGAGTCATCAGGGCATTTTTTTATGACGAAGATCAGTCGGTGTACTAGAAAATGAAGCTATGTGAGACCTGGAATCCAAGTTGTCCACAGTTCAGCTGCAGGGATGAGATGATAACTAGAGTTTGATGGAAATAAAGAAGTCCCAAGGCTTTCACTTGTCTCAAACTTGTGAACTCTGATGACGTTGTGTATGTCACAAGTGAGCAGATAAGACAAGCTTTAATTTTATGAACTAAAATAATTAACCCATTTTCTTTTTCTAATATTCACTTTCACAGGCCAGTCATGTTTCTAGCAAGTATGGCAATGCAACAATGTGTGACTTAAGCCACCAGTATTAAGCTTGGTTAATTGTAGTTTACATATTAACGCCATGTAACACAACACTGTCATGTATCTTATTACTGCCATACTACCTGGATCTCATAAATGCACAAAGCATATAGACCCTTTCAAACTGGATAACCATTTGGTAACATAAATCCTTAACCATGGGCTTGCTAGTTCAGCATATTGTTCATGGATAGTGAAAATAATGGTGTTTGTAAGATTATGGTTTTTACCTAAGTAAATAAGTTTTAGCTTGGGTCGTGATAGTCATAAAAGCACAGACGTATCTAGGGCTGTTCCGCCAGGCCGATATTCTACCATGGGAATGTCAGCAAAACTTCCATAAATCATGTTAATGAAGTTCCACTTTATGTGATGGTTTGGTTGAAATGCTTTGTACTTTACTGCGACCAATAGAGATAAAGCATATGTTTAGTGTAATCTTAAAGTACAGTGTTAAAATACATCTGCAATAAAGAAAATAAGAATTTTTAAAAATCCCATTTTGAATTAAATTATACATGTGTTTCTCAATTTCTCTATCAAAATATGTTTCTGAAGAAGACTAGTTATAGACCATAGCCATGTGCATTTTAGGACCCCTAGATAATACACAATGTCTCTCAAGCTTGAGATATTATTGTCCCATTGTTCATCTGGAATATTTTCTTAAATTACAGCCACTGTTCTCACAGGTGAGGGGATAAGTTGACCTGAAAGTGACCATTCAGTCTGAATCTCTGATTATGTCCTGGGGCTACATTACCCGGTGTTTACTAAACCAGGGCACTTGACACCAGCTGGTCAGCATAAGCACTTCCTGTCTGGTAGTCACTTATGACAGTTCATGTATGAGTATCATGGTACCCAAGGGGGGCACGGGTGGCCCAGTCTAAGGCGCCACAATGCGCTGTGCAGAGTTGCGTCCCTTGGGCACACCAGAAACCTATGACTGTGGGTTCGAATCCCGATTATGTTTCTAGGTTTGTCAGCACCATACCTGTGCTCATGGGTTTCACCGAAGTGGTAAACGTCTGAGACCTGCATCACTTCGGGCTTACCTCCCACATTAAGCTGACACGCCGCGATGTAACTGGAATAATGTTAAAAGCAGTGTTAAACCCAACTCACTCATGATACCCAAGGGCATGGGTGTCACCAGCGGTAGAAACTTGACAGTTTTAGTCCACAAGTCCTTAATGATAACATACAGCAAAACCCTTAATACAATGGCACATTTCTACTGGTCCTTAGGATAGTATTTTGATACCATAACTATTGGGCAGTTGGGCAAGGACTACAGGACTTGTGACAATTTCTAATGCTGGTCACTACTCATGCATCGGTTGTGATGTTGATGACTTCAATTTCTTAGCTTTTAGCTCCATATGTTAACACTAAAACATCCAGTGGAAATGATATCAGGTTCAGGTTTGTAGACTAAACCTTTTGGCACTAAACAAGTGTTTTGAATTAAGGCATATCCTGGGGCTGTGACAGTGCATTGTATTTGATTCATAACCTTAATGTGGATCGTTAAAATAAGGGTTATGAAAACCCCTTGACTTTCATGTTTAATTTTGAACACTGAAAAGCAGTTTTTGGTAGGTGATTGGTCCTGATTGTCTGCAATTTGAATTATGAGGGCTGGAATCTGATTGGTCAACAGGATGCCACTGGTGGCGCTACAATTAAGCCCAGAAATTCCCGCCTTTTTCGGCAAGGGTGGAAACTGGTCTGAATGACTGCTACACCTGCCTGTTGAATCAAGAACAACTTCTTGTAGAATGATGGCCCATTTTTCCTGAAAAGCGTGGTGTAATTGCTGCTGATTCTGGTAGACATTGATGTAAAGGTCTGTCCAGCTCGTCCTCAACTGGGTTCATATCCAGAACCTTGACAGCCATGGCAGTATGTTTTGTGTTCTCAGGAAATCATCACAGGCTTGGGTTGGGTGCTGAAAATGGTGCTTGCAGAGCCTAGACTACCTGAGTACGTAAAATCTCGCCATGATAATGATGATATGCACTTTTGTGACGTTGTCATGGGTATGAACAAGATCTGTTCTTCCCCCCCTAAATCAAGTAAATGGCTCCAAAAGATCGGGGCGGTCGGGTAGCCTAGTGGTTAAAGCGTTCGCTCGTCACGCCGAAGACCCGGGTTCAATTCCCGACATGGGTACAATGTGTGAAGCCCATTTCTGGTGTCCCCTGCCGTGATATTGCTGGAATATTGCTAAAAGCGGCATAAAATCTCACTCACTCACTCAGAATGGAGACGGTGAGGTCAAGCTAAAAGCGGCGTAAAACCATATTCATTCACTCACTGCCAAGATCGTTACTGAATCTGTCAACTTCATGTACACAGCATCCAGTCTGACACTTATTCTGTTGTTGATACACACTGATCTATTTCTCTCCTTTGGTGAAAAAAAATACCAACGTCGACCTTCCTGCTCCAATTCTGACAGTAATGGACAGTATACCTGGGACATAGGGACCTGGAGCTATCTAGATGTTGTGGTTATGCAAGGTCCCTTTGATCTTGGATGATCTCAAGTGCCAATATGGTGTCAAGAGGTGGATGAAGTCATGCACTGGGCAACATGTAAATGCATTGCCACTGATGCTTGTGATTTACCAGTTTCAGGTCTACAAATAGTTATTTCTCACAATAATGTTACTGAACAGTCTCATGATGTTAGTCACAGGATTGTATGGTCCAGACTTGATTATTTACAGACCTCTGTCATATAGCTGGAATATTGCTGAGTGCGGCATTGAACAACAATATACTCTTATCAGACAAAACCCCATTTTGTGACACTTTATTAGTAAAAAAGGAAATGTAGATTTTGTTTTCAGTCCTGTTTTAAGAAGCGACTAACGGGGTCGGTTGGTCGGGCTCGCTGACTTGGTTGATGCATGTCATCTGTCCCAATTGCATGGATCAATGCTCATGATGTAAATCACTGGAAACTCTGGTCCAAGCTCGATTATTTACAGACTGTCGTCTTATAGCTGGACTAGTGCTGAGTGCAGCGTTAACAGTTTTGAGTCCAATATGGAATACTTTCCATTCACAAGTTTGAAACTATTTTCAAAGGCCATCTACATGATCTATGCGTTTCTTGCGCAAAGTAGTATAGCAATCTCATTAAAATCAGGTCTAAGTTCTCGCTTCTGAGGACTTCCCATTACGGGTCATGTCAGATTTGAATGAGATTGAGTAGCGTCGATGATCACACATTTTGTAATCCAATATATACTGCTCAAAATTTGTTAAGGACCAAAACATCTATTGCTGGTCCAGAGCAAATGTTGGTAGCTAACAATAGCATCATGGTGATCATAAAGATATTGTGTGTCAAGAAGTGGAGTGCTTGCACTTCCTTATACGGCTGTATGTAGGTCAATGTAGCAGCTGTTGTATCTTGTCAGCATGACATGAATACACGATCATTGTGAGTTTATCACATTGGCATATGTTTAAACGATAAGTTTTAAACCTACATATAAAGTGTTTACTGCAACATTGGAATTAAGGGGACGCTCTTTTGACTGTTGGGACTGCAGTAGATTAGTAATGCTAAAATATTTACATTTGTTCATTCGCTACGCTTGGTAACAGTGTTAGAACCTACATCGAAACGTCGCTCTTAATTGTAATAAAAAAGTTGTTCAACCATAAATTC